CACTCTGAAGGCCAGAAATGACAGGGCCTTTCGTCTTTGTGGGAGAAAGCCCTTTAGTCTTCTGATCAGCCCTTTCAAACGAACTTATCAGCTGATCAGCCTTTGGGTTCACCTTCAGTAGCTTCAGTTCCATCTGCTTCCCATTCCAAGCTGGCCCAGCATTGGTCCTGATCACTGTCCCTATTGGTTCCTAGAAGTGTTTCAGAACCGCTGGCAAAGTAAGCTTAAGGCTAAACATGAAAATTCCAAGGCTCGACCCCATCACCCTCAGCCAGTTCTGATGGATCCAAATACCTGTTTTTTTGCATTAGCTAGATGGGCATGAGATCAGCTTTACCCATGTCCTTACAGAGGGCTCAAAGCCCCCTGGAATTCCTCCCCTAGGGAGGTCATCAGATGCTCAACTTTACTAGCCTTACTTTGAACATATCACCTACTCTCTACATTGATGATAGCTGTTTCTACCAAAGTAGTTTTTAGTAGTATCATTTAAAGTTCCATTTTGACTATTTTATTTGTTTTTGTTTGGTTTATTCCATAGAACACATTGATTATGTTGAAGGAAAGCAGTAAAAAGAACAAAGTTTAACTGTTCTAGTGCTCGTTTCCACATGTTATCCAATTTCAACACATATAATTTTTTGGGAAGGATCAGTGGATACCCATTCTTGACTACACAAGAAAAGGTACCAGACTACAGACAAATGAACCAACCCTACAACAGACTATCTATGGCTGCCCTTCATGTTTAAACTTTTACACTTTTGTATTATCAATTGATCTGATGTCAAACATTTTGCAGTTACAAAAAGTTAGAGATATAGTTGCAGTGAATGTGATACTTCATTTGTATTGAGATCCTGTTCATAGTGGATGCAGTGGGTCAGGCAGTACTTTGTGCTGCCACAGTTATTAGGAATATTATAAACTGTAAAGCTAGAAGCCCTCTCCCTTAATCTTACCTAAAGCCCAACAGCTGTGTGGCCCTTTCTGCCTCCTGTTATATGGTACCAGGGGCCACATAGCTTTAATAGATGTAAAACAGACCAGAGAAACCATTTTAAACTTAGCCTTAAAAAGGTATTCAGTCCCCGGAGATCAAGCATGGGGTGGGAACCACCATCCTTCTTATCCACTAAGAAGAACCTAGAGTAGAACCCAGGTACTGTTGGGTTCCAAAACCACCTCAATTGTCCCTTTCTCAAGAAGAGATAGCAGCTAAGGCCATAACTCTGGTAAAAGGTTGTTTACTTCCTGTGAAACTCTTTGAACTTATGGTGAAGAAAAAAACCTCTATCCTATATCCATGGGCTACAGTGGACAAAACCCAGTTATCAGTTATGGGCTACCAAAAGGAAAAAAATTGACATAACCTGTCCCTAAAATCAAGGCCAGGAAAACTATCCTGCTCTAGTCCCAGGGTAGCCCATGATTGATGCCCCTGAGAGTCCTTGGCAGAGAAGGATTGCTGCCCCACTCTTTGCTTTGGTCCACTGCATCGTTTAGAGACAGGTTGGTTAGCGGAGAATGATCTTTGAGCAGGGTACTGATATATAGAGTAAAGGCAGAAGCATCGCTTTCTATGAGGGGGTTGCCAATGTCCGAACAAAGATGAACATTGTCTCGGGTAAGTTGGAGTGGAATGAGTAATCCCTAAGGATCTCACTGTCTGGCATCTGCTCCGCTGACTTACTATCCCTTTTCACTGCCAGCTCCCTTCCATCAACATGGTTTTTCCATTCCTTCAGATCCCCATACAAAGCACCTGGCCACAGATTCAGGCAATGATGAGGGTTCAAGATTGGAACCGGGGTCCAAACTGCTTGCAGATCTATCTCCAGATGACACATCTCCCCTAATGAAGATCTGAGGTTATGCAGAACAAATGTTGATGATGGAAAATCTCTCCCAATGAATGTCTTCTTCTCTAACCCTGAGCCTGAAAATAAGATCTTAAGTGTACTTTATTCAGATGTGCCCAATGTTGGAGGATTTCTCATATGTTGCCTCTAGTTTATGGGGGGGGGGGGAATCCTCAATTCCTGCAACCTCATGGAAAATAGAAAATATGTATAAATTAGAACAGGACAATTGTATGTTTCTGTTTAACCATCGTCACCCCTCATCTCTGATTGTGGAAGAAGTACAGGCATGGCACAAGCAAGGGGCCCACTCTGCCTCCACTGACAAGGATGGTAGGAGGATGGACTACATTGGCTGCAAAGTATACTCTGCTGGAGCTTTGAACTTGTGCATAGCAAATTACCAGTCCATAATGGCAGCCTACCAGTTGTTTCTGTGGGAACGCAATGTCTTCCATGCAGACACATATTCCCTATCTCCTGTCCCACTGTGAGCTCTTTTTTTAAAAAATTGATTTCTGACAGCTTGGAAGAACTGAGGGAAAATGGTGTTCCTCCCTCACAGTATATATCAGTTTGGGCGGGAAAACACCGTCATGCGTACTGTGAGGGGGAAGCCCCTTTTACAGTGCTGGAAAGCTAGAAAGTTCTCTCCTGGCTGGCCCACTCCCGTGCAGTCCCAAATGTGTGCCTGCGTGGAAGACAACTCGTCAAGCAACAGTTACAGGTAAGTGTGTCACTGTTTTCACTGAGATTCCTACAGGTGTGCCATCACTTCCAGATTTTCTCTGGAAGCAAGCAACACTGTAGCCTGACAGCACCCCTCCATATCCCAGCCCCCCTGGACTCCCAGTGGTTGCCATAGACACAAATTTTCTTAGGTCTCTGGGCATAGCAAACTCTTCCTGTGGCTACATGTGGAGCAAACCCACCCGTTAAAAATGGAAATTAAACAGCTTCTCTTCCCAAAGTAATGAGCTAGCCCTGCCACTCATCATAGCTATTTTGTACTGGCACCCACTGTCTTATCAAAATTTGGAAAGCTCCTACAGGTTCAACAAGTTTGGGGACCTCTCCCATGATTAATGTGGTTGAAATCTGCCAAGAGGCCCAAAAGAGCTAATGGAAACACTTCCTCCTGTAATCCATTTCCTAGAATTTCCTAGAATACATCATCAACTAAAGTTATCAGAGCACATTTCAGTCCCAAAGCTAGACTAACAATCTAAATAGCCAGTTTGGTGTAGTGGTTAAGTGCGAAGACTATAATCTGGGAGAACCGGGTTTGATTCCCCACTCCTCCACTTGCACCTGGCTGGATGACCTTGGGCAAGCCATAGTTCTGATAAGAGCTGTTCTTGAAAAAGAGCAGTTTCTGTCAAGAGCTCTCTCAGCCCCACCTACCTCACAGGGTGTTTGTTGTGGGGAGGGGAAGAGAAAGGAGTTTGTAAACCACTCTGAGACTCCTTCGGGTAGTGAAGGGTGGGGTATAAATCCAATCTCCTTCTTCTAAATAGCCCGTTCTATCCAGCAGACTAGAACCAAGAAACCAATGCATTCTTGTTTGCCCAGGAATTAGGGAGAGACTAAGCTGATAGGATTAGAGTCTCCAAGGGAGATTTTTTTTCAAAAGTCATACCTCAGCCTTCTTAAGTGATATGACTGCATCCCACTGAGGACTTCACAGCTGGAAACTGAGCTCTTCTGACCTCCCCCACCCAAGTAATCAAAAATGAAAGGGGGACATCCTTGGTGTGAACATTGTAGTAGGATTTGGACTTCCAGGCATTGGTGTTCTGCAATGTTATCAGGCATGCCTAGTCTTGGAAGCCTTAAAGGTCCTAATACGGACCTTTATGGGACTGGATACCTGATCATCTTTGTGCTGTTTCATTTGGATATTGGTTGCTGAAACGGAGCACAGTGAGAACAATGAGAGTTAATACCCATTCTCTTGGAAAGTAGTTTAAAACTGAGATGTTTTATTTATAGTAATTACTGGTATGTATTTATAACTTAGTTATCAAGTGTGTGGGCCTCTGCATGTTTGCATAAGGGCAAGATAATACTTTATTTTCATTATTGTTTTAACTTATTCTGATAGGCTCAGGCTGGAATAACCTTGCATAGGATTGTATTGGACATGCATGCTGGTGACTTAGATTTTATGAGAGTCATTAAAAATATCATAAACGTACAATGACCATTTCAAGTATGGTATTTCTGTTATAGCATTGCTTTGAACTTAGTTTGCAGGCACTGAGGTTTGAAAATAGACAAAAAGGATCTGCAGTACAGTTATTGAGAAACAGAATTATAAACCTCATAACAGTTGTGAGATTGAAAGCAGTACATAAAAACAGCTTTAAAAGACAGAACCCCTGAGTCAAATGCCTGGATAGGAATAAATATTTTGACCTACCACTTTAAAAGAGTAATGTAAGTGTGAGGCAGGTCTCAAGTGGGAGGGCATTTAAATATGAGGTACCATGACTGAAAAAGCCTAGTCTCTGATTGCCACCCACCTTACCTCTGCAGACAGAAGCAATGAGGGTAGGGCTTGGGAAGAGGGTCACCTGGAGAGCTGGATGGTACGGGAAAAGGTAGTCTTTCAGATACCCTGTCTGCAAAACATTTAGGCCTTTTGACAGGGCAACAGAGCATATCTTTCATACTGGTTCTCCCTGCTGGTGGGGCAGCAGGATAAATACATTTTAAAATATGGAACCATATAGATGTTCATAAAATAATGGTACATGTGCAGTGTGTAAGTGGCCACCTAGTATGTGTAAAATGGACATACTGGCTCTGAATTTTAATTGGTTTTAAGCTTTTTTCTTAATGTTCATGGTTCCCCACCAACAGGAAGTTGTGCATTCTTACGACTTTAATGGTTTAGGAAAGCCATGATCAAATACTTCGCAGCTATTTAGATGTGTCCTTGTGCATGTTTGTTGTTCTGTACTACTGGTGACTTCAGGTTTCGTCTGAATATTTGGCACAGTTAACTTCTACGTAATGTGTGAGGGAAATTAACTTCTGCCAAAAAAAATTTGTTCCTGTGTGTTAAGTTTTATGAGGGATGGACAATACTATATAAAGTAGTTGCTACAATATTAATATTAACATTTTTTACAGGTATGCAAGCCTTTACTTCTGCTGTGCCATTGAAGATCAGGATAATGAGCTAATAACCCTGGAGATAATTCATCGTTATGTAGAATTGCTTGATAAATACTTTGGAAGTGTAAGTTATTAACTCTGGTTCTTATTTCTAAATATTGTGTATAGGTGCAAATTAATGAGCTTTGTTTTATATATGCACAAAACAATACACTTTGTATTGGAAAATAAAGGAATGCAATTTCTTTTAAAATATATATCCATGGTATCTGGTGCATTCCATCACTGTTCTGCAGCCTGAAAAGGTGAGAGGGAGCTGTTATACAAAATGTGGCAAGAAGGTCAAACACTGAAGAGTGGTATGTTAGCCAGTTTTTGATCCACAAAAAGACTTGTCCTTTTATCCCGAGACTATTGAGCTTACTTAGGAGCCTTTGATGAGGAACTATCAAAAGCTGTTCCTGAGCTACTTTTAATATTTTATTCATTTTTCCTTTACCAGTTCTTTTAGTTCTGTAATTTGTAACCAGTGTCTCTAAGTGATTTCATGAGAAATGATGGAGATCGGTATTTGTAAAGATTGTAACGAGAACAAAATCTTATCCTAGCACCCTAGACATATTGAATCTCAGCATTGGTTCTTTTTATGCTTTTTAGGTATGTGAACTTGATATCATCTTTAATTTCGAGAAGGCTTATTTTATTTTGGATGAATTTCTGTTGGGTGGGGAAGTTCAGGAGACCTCAAAGAAAAATGTTCTTAAAGCCATTGAACAGGCAGATTTGTTACAGGAGGTAAGCAAATCTACATTCTTTGCAAAACACACTAGCATGCTGTGATCTGTCTAGGAAAAGCTTTTGTTTCTTCAAAACTGTACAAACAGCTTTTCAGCATGTCTAGCATGTTGTTTCTAATTAATGTTCTCCTTTATCAGTATTGCTTTGTCCATTTCCTGTTTTGTTAAGCAGAGTTCATTTTCATGCAGCATGGTGACTCAAAAATAGACTCTGTTAAAGTTTACTTCATGTTCTAGATATTGCTAGACATGCAGCTGGCTGTCTCCATGTGTTTTTTGTTATCTGTGCATTTAAATTTTTGTCCAATTTAATTTTAATATTTTTCTTAAATTAACTAAATAATTATCACTAGTTTTTGTCACACCTGATGCATGTATGCCTCTTTACTGTTTCATTGCTGAAACCCAGAAGCTAGACTCACTACTTTGAGACACTTTCAGGTATAGTTAACATTAACTGTTTTTAAAAACCAGTCATGATACTATAGCTAATTAAAGTAGATGTGTGCCGTGTGTTTAGAAAATAGTCATAATACTAGTCTTAGAAATGCTACAAATGAACTAGATTGAGGTGGAAACCTCTCAGTTGCTAACAAAATGCATAAATATTAGTGCTAGCTTTAGTGAACTGCTTAGTAATAAAGTTAATTAAATTCAATAGTTGAAATTTGTTGGAGGAAATAAAATTCCTAAAATAACACCCTTCTTACTAGCTCATGAATTCCATTATTTGGTAGCTATAATTTTGACATTATAATGCAGAATTGGTGATATGGATATCGTGTGTGAACTGTAATTATTGATTCAAGTTATGAACACGTTAAAGTTTCTATACATTGCCTAAATTAATGTGGGTTAAGGCAGTGTATTAAAAGTTCTTCTATCCTGCATATACTGCATAGATAACGTTCTGTGATGTGTATTTATTTTTAATTTGTGTTGATGTTTAATCTTCAGTCCCATGTGTTCATCAGTATCTCTCCTCTGGGGTTTTCAAGGTAGCAAAACAATTAATTTTCTAATCCCTTGTACTGGAGTAGAAGTCATTCAGATGTGCATTAGATATGAGAAAGTGTACTCAGGATATTTCAAGTCAGAATGCATATGAGAAATGACTTATTTGAAAACTGTGTCAGAAATCTTCTTGCATGTAAGTTATGTGTAAACTTTTCACATGGAGGGTGGTAAAGTAGGAATTTAAATTCAATATTCCACTAATGCTGGTATGTCTGCACCACGCAAGACAATGCAAAAAATTAGTAAGTAGTGGAAATGCAGAAATTACACATGATGAACCAGGGTAGATAAATCAGGACACCTTGATTTATGAAGATTCAACCTGAGGTATTTTAAGCATTTCTTCATCTAATTTTCTCACAATACGAATTGTTCTGTTTCTTTCATGAAGTTAGCTAC